TCTTGGACACACCTTCCCCGCCACCACACAAGAGACAGAGAAGGACAGAAGACATTCCCAATCCGGACACTTTGCCTGGACTTCATCCTCCCTCTGATGACGAAGATCCGATGCCTCGCGTTGGTGCTGCTCCTGACTTAGAATTGGAGGTCCTGGCTGCCAGAATGGCTTCAAAGATGTGTGCTTGATCATGGCCATGCAAAATATTGGTCTTCCGGTGGTTTGCGATCAAGATGGCCCATTCTCAGTTTCCTACGGCAATAGTCTGCTACTTCCCTTTGGCGTCCAACTGTGTCAGAAGCATTGTCGAAAGTCTTTGCCGGATGGCAGCTACATCGTGCATGACAAGGACATGAAGCACTTCTTTGCCTTGCAGCATCGAGAAGGTTTGCTCCTCAAGAAGGATGGTGAGGTCACCTCAGTGGTGTCTGCTGGTGTGGCAATGGACATGTTGTCATCTGACCAGTACACCTTCTACTATATACTTGCGAAGGCAATCCTACTCAGCATTAGTGACCTTGGATGCTGTGGGAGGTTCTAGTCCGCAGACTTTCACATGTCCTCTGAGCAAGTGTGTCTGTGAAGGTTGTTCTGGTTCCCTCATCTACCATTTGTCCGTCGATGCCGTGCTGTACGATTTAGATGGTCCTCGAAAAATCGTCCACGTGCAGAAGAACTGTACTTCCCGTTCTTGCCGGGCTTCTTATGGCTACAACTATCGCTGGGAAGCAGGCAAGAAGGTGAACGTCCTTGGCATGAAGGATTTTCAGGACAACATTCTGTTTGTGAACTCGAAGAAGGCCTTTTGATTGAAATACATCCAGTATCATGAAGAACTTCTGTTCCGTGGTCATCTCTCAAGTGCTGCTGTGTCGTGCGCTTACCACGTTGTCCACGGAGATTCCCAAGAGTCAATCCTTCAGAACTTTTACAAGCTGCATGCGTCTGCGTTGTTCTACTACATGGCTGTGAGGGAGTTCGAGTTGTTGGGCCTGCATCAGGAGATCATGATCGAACAGGAGATCCAAGATACCCATCTTGACCTCTACGATTCCTTTTGCCACTCATCTACCTTTCCTCCACACAAGCGTCAGCAGGTGAAGACCTTAGTCCTTGATGGAAACCAGAAGCTGAAGATGCAGTGTGATATGGCGCCAATGAAGCGCGCAGGCCGTCCTAGGAAGTCTGAGCACACCACCGGGCACTACACCAATGGCTGGATGCTTGCGTGTGATCCGAAGTCCGGTCGCATCATCAGCTTGCAGGTCATGCATGAGCCTGAAGGCAACGAGGTCGCAACTCTGGCTGTGGAGAACGTCATCTGGTTGTACCCCAAACTGGATTGCCTTGTCTACGACAGAGCATGCGCTTTCAAGTCATGTGGGGAGTCGAATGAGGCCTTGAATCAGATCGGCTACTATGTCGTGGATGGTTTTCATTCTCATGGTCATTCGCGAACCTGCTCTTGCAATCCTCGTGTCCTGTCTGTTTGTTTCAACACCAAGTCAATCAATATGGATTCTGTTCTATCGAGACGACCACAATCATTTTTTGCCAGTTTATTGAGGCACATGTTGTTGCATTAGTCCTTATGAATGTGTCGTTTTTTATAGTTTCGTATTTACTTTAAATCAAGCCTACCTAGGCTACCGCAAGAAGCTGGAGAAGCGCATTCACAAAGAGAACACTTCGATCTGCGAACAGGTCTTCTCGTGGTTCCGCAACTTTTCCCCTATCATCAATGAGATGCGAGCCCACCGGCACAAATTCTTCTTGTTGCTTCTGTCCAAGCGTCACAACGAGTCCATTGAGGCTGGCAACATTCGGTATTTGCATCCAACTCGCCTGCCAAACCTCTTCAAGAATGCGAAGTCTGTCTCATACCTATGTGGCAAGAAGTCCAACACGAAGAATGCAATTGGCAAACCCTCGTCTGGCAACAAGATGGTCATGAAGGGCAAGTCCATGAAGACTAAGTCCATGAAGTACAAGAAGTGAAGAAAGCTGAGGGACCATCTGTAGATCTAATCTCATGGGACAAGTTCTGTAGACTATAAATATTTTTGCTATGTAAATCCTTCTATTTGGTGGGTTGCTATTAATTAAACACACTAGTGCATATCAGTAAGATTGCTATAGAATCTCTATTGAAATATTGTTGTTTGTTGGAAGTCCACATGAGAAGGTATGAGCTGAAAACTTTAGACAGCAAGATTTGGCAGCTTGAAATGCTTAAAAAAGTGCACGCTCACAGTGACGAGCTCTCCAGAACACGTTTGGGTGGCCGAGCCGAGCCCTGCAAGGATCTGTAGGGCCATCGGCCATCAGCAGATCTGTATACAGTCTCTTTCGACTGCGCCTTCACCACCAGCCTGCTCCGTGGAACTTCTCTGCAGCCAAAGAGGCTCTTGCTTGTCCAGTGCCCCACTGCCGTCTTCGTCCAGCTCTTTGAAGAGTGCTCCGACCTGGGTCCCGCCCCCAGGGTCCCTGATTGGTCCCCCGCCATGGCCGCACCCGGACCTCGCGGTGCGATCGAAGCCACACCCCAACGACCCGAACGACCCGGAGAATCGCACGGCACGTCCCCGGACCGATGGGGTCGGTCCACAATCCAGCCTTGGGTGTCACCCTGAAAAGCCCCCCAAAGCCGCTGTGAAACCTTAAGGTTTCCATGGGTTTAGGGTTTAGGGAAGACGAGCGGCTCCCTTCGCGTGGGTGTCCACCATCCTCTTCTTCTGCAGCACCAGCAGTTCATCGTCCTCGTTGGCCACGCGCATCGTCTGCTGGATGAAAATACCCGTGATCACCTGGCGGAAGAAGAAATGCCAGAGATCAGCTGCCAAATCCCTTGGAGCCCTGTGAGGCGGAGCCTGAAGCTCCAAGAAAACCTTTGATTGATCCTTCCGTGTGTTCCCCCCTTAACTCAAATTTCCGACCCGGACCCACACCCGCCCACCTTCAGCACTGCGAAGCCCACCACCAGCTTGTAGGCCAGAATCCCCACCTCACAGCGGAGGTCACCAATGACCTGTTGTCCCCAAAAAACTCTCATGACACACGTGAAGGGAAGTCGGGACCCAGAATGACCCAGAGCCGAATAAGCAGCATCTTCTCAAGCATTTTCAAACGCACAAGCAGTGTTGAAGTGGACGCCTGGAAATTTGGTGTCTCCTGCTTCGACCCTGCAACTGGGTGTCTGACCAATAAAAAGCACAAAGCACTCATTGACCCAGCTGTGGGGAACCGCATCTCCATCCCAGTGAACCAAAGCACCGACAGAAACCTCCATCAACACTCATGCAAAGAAGTCGTGGCGTGCCAAACATCACCCACGGGCCATTCAGCTACGACGCCATTTCAACTAACGGTGCTCCCTCCCCTGACGTTCACTCGTCTGGGGCCCTGGCGGCAAACCATGGGCTCACATTCTCCATCATCGAGCGAGTGATGGCTGGCGTGGGCGCAGTTGCCGCGTCGGCCAACCCTTTGTTGTCTTGAAGCCCATTGAAATCGAGACTGCGCCCATCTTTAACATGCCTCACAAGTGTTGAAAGAAGATTTGCCGAATGCCCCCCTAAAATGGCCATATCTTTCAACTTCTCCGGCCGGCATAAAAATGGTTTGACTTACTACATTCTCTCTCTCTCGCTCTCTATGCAATATATATAGCAGCTATCTTTTACCTGTTCTCTGGTGCGCTTGGATTTGCATGGATCCGACAGCTCCGACCGCTCTGGTGCGCTCCACCCTTCCGAGACCACACGTGTCGTAGCCGCCCCGTCCGGGTCTCGGTGAGCACCTGCATAGTTCGCCAAGGTGAGCTCAAACATCGACACCAAGCCGCGGCCCACGTTGCCGAAGAGCCGCCACACCTCGCCGCTCAGGATGCCGGGACTCCAATTATAGGTCAAATTTTTCTAGGTCAACGGGGTGCCGAAGTCTCTTTGGCAAGACAGCCAAGCGCCGCCCGGGCTTTTGATGGAAAGCCATCAGCATCCACACATGTCAACGTCCCAAGGGCGGTGATGGTGATGGTGATGGTGATGGTGATGGTGATGATGATGATGATGATGTCGAACTCTATGCGATGCACCAAGTGCTTTCTTCTCAAAACTGAAACCCGCCCAGCTTCCCCTTCCGAGTCTACGGGGTCTCCCGAGTCCTGTCCCCAAAGGTACCGACCCTCACACCGACGGTACCGACCTCCTGCCGCAAGGTGGTATCAGCATCTGGCGTCGCCTCAATCCTGAGCTTGCGCGAGCGAGCTTCCCCTCTCCGGGGCCACGGTACGAGGCCACGGTACCAAAAGGAAGCCTCCAAGGGAAGCCTACGAACACGGGACGGCTGGGACGGGACATTCGGACATTGAAGGAACGAAGTTGTTCATCACCAGCCCCAAACAAATCAAGCCCAGAACCCTTTGATGACGGCACACACTTTTGTGACCCTTTGGATTTTCAAGAAGGTCACCTTGTGGCTCCGGATTTGCAGTGAGATCCAGGTGCACGCAGCTTCAGAAGTCCGATCCATCCCCTTTGCCACAGAGGAAAATGATGTCCCAGCCGCACCCGGTCGACCGAGGCACCAGCCCTGGACGAACTGCGACATGGCCAGCGCACACACCGTCATCATGATCAGAAGCACCAGCGCTGACCTCGTCTTCTGGACCGACGGACGTCGGTGCGGCAGGCAGAGCGCACCACGCTGTCTTCCAAGAGAACTGCACATGAGGTCTCGCATCCGTGTGCCCGCAGGGATTCCATCGTCCAGGTGCGAAAGAAGATTGAAAACCCAAGAATGACACGACTAAAGAGGTCAAAAAATAAATTTATGATACATTTATGATTATGAAATGAGGCCTTATATACACATACTATATAAGATTTCCTTGATTTTCTGAGTATTATGGGGTCATTCACGTCGCACAGGATAGCCAAAATGGACAACATACATACGATAAGTATTGAAGTGACGGCGCGTGCCGGCACAAAGCAAAAGGAGCGGCCTTTTCCGGACCAAAAGGCGAAAGCCAAAAAGGGTCAAGATCTCGGGCCCCCGACGGCAGCGGGGATACACAGGCTCAAACAGCATCCCAATCCGGCGCACGGTTCAACAGCGGATTCTTCTTCTTTGCGGATTGAGGATGGTGTCCTTTCAGAAAAACCGCGCACAGAACAGCTGCCGTTGTGCCGAGGGCTGATTGCCAATTGCTCAAGCTTTCAAGCTCAGCCACCTCTTCCAGAGTTCGCCACTCTGAGGCTCCATTCTTCAGGTCAAAGCGACCAAACGTGCTCCTAAGTGGAAAAAGCTTCACATCAACTCGGGGCTTGGGTGACCTAAACGAGCGGGCATGTCGAGCAACCTGTACAATCAATTCATCTTCAAAGTGCCAGCCGGGCCTGTCTGCCAGCTGGTGGACATATGGAAAAACAGGGTGACTCTCACACATTGGCTCACCGGGCAGCTCAACACAGGGCTCGGCCTTCTTCTTTGCGACCTTGCTCTTGCCCTTGATGAAATCAGTATTGAATTTCACTGACCATCTTCCTCGTGGTTCGGAGGTGGTGCATGTCCATGACCTTGGTGCCGCCGTCGGCGATCATGTTCTCAGTGGCCGTCCACTTCAGTGAGGTGCC